CCAACCAAGTAAACACAGAGACTTATATTGCTTACAAACTGTATGGCCGTGGCAGGCTTCTTGCTAACTGTTCTTATAGCTTAAATTAATTCATTTCCATAAATCTATACCTTGCCACGTGGCTTGTGGCTCATTGGCATCTTCACATGCTGTTTGTCATGGCGGCGGTGGCTGGCAGTGACTCCTGCCTTCCTGTTCTTTCTTTTCTCCTCTCTGTTAGTCCCGCCTATACTTCCTGCCTAGCCACTGGCCAATCAGTGTTTTATTTATTGACCAATCAGAGTAATTTGACATACAGACCATCCCATAGCACCCTGTCTCAGTGAAGGAAAGAAGGAAGGAAGGAAGGAAGGGTGGGTGGGCACATGGGCAGGCCAGTAGGCCAGCCTGTCCAGGGTGTGGTCACGGGAGCCCAAAGGACACCCAGCCTCTTAAATGCATTTGTGCTGAGGTTCAGTCAAGCCGTGACCTGGTGTGGTGATCTGTGTCACATCTTACCTGGTTCCCTGTTGCAGCATTTCCCTGCCTCTCTGGGTCCCTGTTCTGTTCTGTGTTGGAGACCTGCACTCGAACCCACCTGATGGTCAAACACCTGAAATCTAGGCTTCTGAGGTAGTAGGGCTTCTCTTAGAAGAGCTCCACACTTCTTGCAGCATAGGTAGTAGTCCCTAAGAACATGAGAAGATGTGTCATGTTGTGTCCCTGAAGGTCCTAGTTGAGTGGTTTGCGTGCAGTGCTAATTGTCTGGAGGCTTCCTGTGTTAGCCCCGCAGTCCAGCTGCTCCGGTCGGAGTCTGCTTCGCTGTGCCTTCCAGGTCAGTTTCCCGCAGTACCAACACCTGAACTTCTCACGGTGGAAAGGTATCATGGGGACAGAAGAGATTAAGTATGTTGAGTGGTCCTTCCGTATGATAAAATAACACACTTACCAAAACTTACTGCCAGTGAAAAAAGAGGAGTCGCTTATCTACGATTTCACACTAGTATCAAAGGAATTAGACTGAGGTTGTCCATTTTCTCCTGGACATTAAGTCATGGGTACAGTATGACGTCCCTTTCCTCTGCTTTCCACTGCCATGTGTGTGGTCTCTTATCAGTCAGGGCTGCAGCATCAGGATTCAGGACTCCTGCTGTTGAATGTTTTAGTTTTCAGTTTTTCCTTGGTGTTGTAAGAAACAACACTTGTGTGTGTGAGCTAGAGTAAGTGAGTGGGTCGACTCTGACTTTTGAAGGCTCTTTAAAGATTCGCGGTTCTGTTAGCTCACACTGGGAGTTGAAGGGAGCCTGCTCAGTGGGCTGCCCCACGGGCCTCTGTGGTCAGATGGGTCGACGGTTGTGCGGGTTTCAGGGTGGGGCAGGTTCTGCAGGCTGCTTTATCTAGGCTGGTGTCCTAGTTTACCTTCTGTAGCTGTGATAAAAATTATGACCGAAAGCAACTTAGGGAAGGAAAGGTTCATCTGGCTTCCATGTCCCAATCACAGTCCGTCATCAGGGGAAGTCAAGGCAGGAACTCAAGCAGAGGCCCTGGAGGAACGCTGCTTACTGGATGCTCCCCTCCATGGCTTGCTCAGCCCGCTTTCCTCTACAACACAAGACCATCTTCCTGGTGTAGTGCTGCGCACATCAGTCATTTATCAAGAAAATGCCCACAAGCTGGTGGCAAGCTGGTGGTCCCAGCATTCAGGAGATAGAGAGAGTTCAGAACCAACCTGGTCTACACGGTGAGTTCCAGGACAGCCAGCACCAAGTAGAGAGATCCTGACTCAAAAGAAAGAAAAGTCTGATGGAGACATTTTCTTAATTAAGGATTCCTCTTCCCAAGTGACAGAAACTGCAACACAGTGCCAGTAGCTGTGAGTCTCACACTGGATCCCTGTGTGTTGAAAACCCTCCAGGAGCAGATGCTGTTGCCACTGGCCACTACGCAAGGACCTCACTGGAGGACGAGGAAGTCTTCGAGCAGAAGCACACTAAGAGACCAGATGGGCTGTTCAGAAACCGATTTGAAGTCAGAAATCGTAAGTTGATGTGTGTGGCCAGAGCTATAATCTCTGTGAGCACAGGAGCACTCAGAAGGATGGCGGGGGTGGGGTCTGAGCACACAGCCGCCCACCTGATCCTCTGTGCTCCTGACTAATGAGCGGTTCGTTTAGGTTCAGATTTGCAAAGGCACAGGTGGCCACAGGGTCGCTTCCCCAGGGCCTGTGGTTGAGCATTGCGATGCCCTGGTCAGGAGCCAGGGTGAGAGCTGAGGAAGGTGATCAGGAAACTTATCTAGGTTATTACATGTTGGTAAGTTGAACTTCTGAAAATATTTGGGAAAATATTTGACAGTAATAATTGGAGTGGTTTTAACAGGGTCCCACGCAGATGGAGAGTCACTTCCCATCTGGAATGGCTGCATCTGCTGGTGTCAAGCACATGCTCACCTTTGTCTGTCCATGCTTGTTCTGATCCTCCTGAGATATTCAGCACTGTGTGGAGTGACTTGACTGTGGTAGTTGAATGATGCCTTGGTTTCCAGCGTGCGTTTTAGGCAAACCAAAGCTGTTTTGTGGCTTTGGTCTGAGTCCTAGGGGATCATCCAAGTGGAGGCAGATGAGGTCTTGGGCTCAGGGGATGGCTGTAGTTGTGGACCTGACCTTGTAACCAGCTGGTTTTCATCGGAACATGGTGCTTGCAGTGCGTAGCAGAATAGGAGGGCAGGATCTCGGAAACAGAGAAGCTCTGAACTCCAGTAGGCTTCACCAGATGTTACCTCCATCCTGCTTTTTCCTCCATGGCATTTTTGTTAGCATTGCCAGCTTCCTGTTTCAAAGTCATAGGTTTTCATTGTGTTTTAAAATAACTCAGAAGGTAGATGTGGGGACACCTGTAAATTACCCAGCACTTGGGAGGCACAAAAAACAGTCAGAAAGAATCCAGGACAAAATAACTGAGAACCAAGAGAAAATGCACACAAATAATGTTTGAGAGAATTTGGTTTGGACAGAGATTGAATTCTAGCCTTATTTCAGCCAATTGCATTGTTTTTGACCAAGTAGCAGGACAGCAATGGGAGGCAGCTCAGTCTGTAGCACAGCTTTTCAGCAGACCTTAGTCCTTCCTGTAAAGATGGGGGAAATTCTCCTTCACAGGAGATGTGAGAGCCAGCGGGTGGAGACCTACAGGCAGTATGATGCTTACTGCTGGCTGGTGTGGGAAGTGTGCAGTGGTTTAAACTGTGTGGAGCTGAGGAAATGGCTTCGCTGGTAAAGACCTCAGTTCGAGTCCCAGAACCTCTGTAAAATCCGCAGGCATGGTGGCATGTCAGTAATCCCAGCACTGGGGAGGCAGAGATAGGCTAGACAGTCTAACCTCGTTAGTGAGTTCTGAACCAGTGAGAGACCATCTCAAAAAAGAAAGGAAAATAGGTGACACCTGACTTCCACCCTCGTGTACTGGCACGGACAAGCTCTCAAATGCATGTGCACACACACACAGAACTGAGCTGGTGTGTGTGAAGTGCTCCACATTTCACTCTGGGGTGTCTCCTAGCACTCTGTGTGAGAAAGGGTGGGAGAAGCAGTCTACCCAGCAGCCGCAGCAGCCCACAGACCTGAGTAGGAACTGTCTTCTCAGGGAAATTTACCTGGCCACCTTCTCAGTCCAAAGACACCAGGGCCAGCATCACTCACAGCTGTGTACATGCACAAAGAGTTCCTTACAGTTACCTGGAAAGTCAGAGAAACCACAGCAGGGCTGGCGACAGATGTCAGTTTGGACCCTATAGCAAAACTGTTTCCACCCTGTGGCTGGGCTGAAGGCCAGAGCCTGGGTGTTCCTTTGCACACTTCACGCGCCTGCAGTTGATGGGCAGGTAACACTGCGGGCACTACTTCAGCATGATTCCGAGTGAGCCGTCTGGTCCGGTCTCCACACGGGACTAGATTTATTTTAGGACCATTGCTTCTCACTTCACATTTTTTTTTTCACATGGTGTTTCATGTTTGAAAGTCTTACAATCAAAATCACAAGCAGGGATAAATCTCCCTTTCCTGTGTTGTTCCTTATGGATAAACCAGGGGCCAGCATTTTCTGTACATTAGCCATGCTGGTATTTTTCCCCGTAGTCTTTTGAGATGGGTTTGCTTCGGGCGGACTGGGGGTAACTGCTCGCACAAGGGCAAGAGAAGAAAGAGTTGTCGTCTGTGTCCCTGCAGTGACTTTTGTTCTTTCCTCTTGGCAGCCGTAAAACTTCTCCAGGCAGCTGACAGCTTTAAAGACCAGACCTTCTTTCTCAGCCAGGTTTCCCAGGATGCCCTGAGAAGAACCATCTTCCCCCTGGGGGAGTTAACCAAAGATTTTGTAAGGAAAATAGCTGCAGAGAATAGACTGCATCATGTGCTTCAGAAGAAGGAGGTAGGGGGGAGCAGCTTGCCACCGAGTCGTGAATGTTTCCACCCATGTTGTCATGGCACAGGCAGGGCTGGGCTCTCGGGTGCCTCTGCTAGGACCCCATCAGGCCAAGCCACAGAGCACAGCTGCAGGTGAGGAGCAGCTGAGGCCCTCCTCCTCCTCCTCCTCCTCCCCCCCCCCAACTCCTGTGCCTGCTGTGGCCGACTGCTTTCTCAGCAGACATGCCAGCGGGCTTCGTCAGCCAGGTCAGTGTGGGCAGGAGCAGCCATGCTGGTCCATCCCATGAGACAGGAGTCTGCAGCCCTCTGCACACAGTGCTGCCTATCCAAGCAGACAGTTCCTCTGCACCTCTCAGAGCTCCCTACAAGGACAGTCATACACTGCATCTTGGAAACCAGGCTCACCCCTGTGGAGGGAGAGCTGGGATCCTGTGAGAAGCCCCGGTAGTCCAGGTTTGATTAGAGGTTGGTACAGCTTCACCTGTAGCCACTATTTATGCCAGTCTTCTGGGACACACATGGCTGTGCCTTTTATCAAAAAGCCCGCGTTGCCAAAGAGAATGCCCTTCGCTGTTCTCCTGTCTTCCCTGCTGTTCATCCGACAGCATTTCTCCATGGTAGGAACTGACGGAGTCACTGCAGTCAACACATGGGGCAGATCCCTGCTCTCCTGCCCTGTGCTGTGCAGACACACACTGAGGACTGATGCCCGAGCTGCTCACCCAGCACAGTCCTGGGGAGATCAGCCTCTTGCCTGGTCCCTCAGCTGGGCTCAGCCAGCTGCAGCTGTCTCCTCCCTGACTCCCCCGCTGCCTTGAGTTGCCTTGACCCTGCTTCCTGCTCCTGCCTTGGGCTCTGGCTCTCCAGCAGTGGACAGTCTAGTTTGCCCTCCTGGATTGCCCATGCGGGTTTTCCAACAGTCTGGTTGCAGATAATGCAGTGTTTACATGATAGCATCTACTTTGGGGCCAAACTCGGAAAGACAAGACAGTCCCTAGGCCCTCAAGTTCCGTTGTGTCTGTGCTGAGTTCGGGGCTTCCCGCAGCACAGCCTGCTCTCTGCTTGGCAATGCTGCTGCCCTCCTAGTCCAGTGGCTCTCTGTTCCCTGCTTTGCCTCCTGGCTTCTGCTCACATCATGTTGTCCTTCCTCTCGTTACAGAGCATGGGCATCTGCTTCATTGGTAAAAGAAACTTCGAGCATTTTATTCTTCAGGTGAGTGTCCTCTGACATGAGTGGCTGTCTGCGCTGGGCCTGGGTCTCCAGTAGTGATGAAACTTGTCTTCCAGTATTTGCAGCCTCGGCCTGGAAAGTTTATTTCTATCGAGGATAATACAGTTCTGGGAACACATAAAGGTGAGTCCTGTCAGCTCTGGGCACCAAAGGCCAGGGCTAGCTCCTGTCCATTCCATGAAGGGCTCATGGAGGACTTGAGGGGTAGGTTGGGGTGGGTACATGTGCCATGAGCAGTCACTCTGACAGGAACTGTGTGTGCTGTGATGCTCTATCTTGTATTTAACCCCGGCATTCAGAGCTGGACTCTGTGTGTGTGTGTGTGTGTGTGTGTGTGTGTGTGTGTGTGTGTGTGTGTGTGTGTGTTTCACATTCCTAAAAGTATGTTGTTGATTGCCATGGGAGTTCAGGGGAGACTGCCATTGGAGAAAGAAGGCAGCTGACCTCATAGCCAGGCGACTGAGGACCGTATGGGTGCTAGTCACATAATCACAGAGGAGGTCCACCATACTTGCACTGTGCTGGGTGTGAGGACAGAGCCAGTCCCAAGTGCTCACAGTGCTCATGTGGGGACAGACAGTATGGACTGGAGGGGACATGCCTCCTGAGACTTGATGTCTGGACCCAATCTGTGAGATTGGCTAGAGGTCAGAGTGCCCTTTTTTGTCATGTGTGATCCCTGGGGAGGGAGCAGAGAAAGACCCAGCTGAACTACGTGTTATCCTGGAGATGAGAGCGACTTGGCTGGGAACAGTGCTGCTGTTCCCAGCAGCCAGCAGTTTGGAGACTCGTGGCTTTGGACTGCCCAGGGTGCAGTGAGTCCTGCCACTGTCTCTGCAGGACATGTGCATTCCTGAAGAGGTAAAGCTGGTGACGAGGAGGGTGTACGGTGCAGATGCAAGGAACGTGCTCAGTAGGCACACGACCTTTGAGAGCCGTGTCCCCATGCCGGTCATAGCCACCAGACGAAGGAGTTGGCGTTTGTGCCCAGCTCAGTACCATCCTAGTCACTGTCATAGCCCCCAAGTCCTGACCTTAGGTGGAATGTGCACGGACGTGTGGTTAGGGCCAAGAGAATCACAGTGTAAAGTCAGCATGCCCTGGAACACTCCGTAACCTCCTATTTATGAGGGCTGAGATGTGCCCTCTGGAACACTGTTTCATAGGTTGGTTCCTGTATACTATGGGCCAGAGAGCTAAGATCAGCGGCTTGAGAGAGCCCTGGTACGTGGTGGAGAAGGATGGCATCAAGGGTGACGTGCTTGTGGTGAGTGAAATTGGCCTTCACTGTCTAGTGTGCCAACAAAACTGGAGTGCCCGAGGGCCTGGAGCAGCAGACCTGTCCTCCCTAGCTCCTGGGACAGCTGTAAGGTAACAGGAGGTCTTCATATAAATTATCCTTAGACTCCTGTTGTGTGCTGGCCGTGCGGGAATCATTGCAACCATTCCTAGAAAAACTGCCCTGTTTTGCAAAGAAGATTGTGACTCAGATTAGATAACTGGAAAAGTTATCTAATGGAGAGGAGGTTGTCATAGTGCCTGTTCAGCCCTCACTTACCCTCCATGGGAGGGTCCTAGAAGTCCTAGAAGGCTGAGCCAGCACCAAGCCATGCCCTTGGTCACATGGGACCCTGGCCCATCCTTGTCTGTGCTAGGCTCTGGAGCAGAAATTCTCCAGGAGGGCAAGCTTTGAGGGGCTTGATGGCATCAAGAGATATTTGGGTTATGAATTGGGTGGGGATGGAGGAGTGGGTGCTGCTGCCATCCTGCCTGTGCTTACACGGCAGCCCCCAACCCTGACAGACTCACTGAATCCAGCTCTCAGGAGTGCAAGGGTGGGAACCCTGCTCGGGCAGGCTGAGCTGCCAGCCAGCTGGTGCCGTCAGAGATGCTGGAGGACCCACAGGCCCCTAGGCCGCAGACTGCATCACGGAAGTCTTCTAGAAGAGCAGCATGGGAAACACCTACTCAGGCTTGAATTAAGGCGTCTTTAGCATAAGCTCAGATGGGCCTCCTGAGAAAAGCCAGAAAGGTCATTGGCTCAAGGGCCCAGGCGATCTTAGTGTCTTAGCACCCAGAGTCTCAGGACTTGGTGCTCCTGGTTCTGCCCCAGGGGAGACTTGGCTGCCTTTGTAGGCACCAGGGTTCTTTTGTGCAGAGACTATTGGTGACGGGAACAGGAACTTCAGAACCAGTCCTGCATGTGAAAACTACTCAGGCCAGGGCCAGCCTCACAATTCTGCTACCACCCAGGTGGTTGGGGGCCTGTGTCTTTCAGCCCCTGCTTTCCCCAGCCAGTTGTTGCTGGTGGTGGGATCCATGGCCCTTCCAAGAGGCCAGTTGTGTGGCTGACCTACAACTCTAGGATAGACAACAATCTTCAGAACATGACGGGGTGCAGGGTGACAAAGTGTGGGGGGAAATCTCACACCTGCTGCCCCATGACCGACCACTCTCTCTTGTTCCTTTCTTTCTCATTTGAAAACCAGGGTAAACAAACCCTGCTGAACTGGATTCTCCATGTGGGCTGACACATGCAGCTGAGTGGGGCTGGCTTATAATCAGTTATGGATATGCTGTTAGGATTGTTCTTATTAATGGTAGCTGCTGAGAGATTTGGGGTGAGGGCTGCTCCCCTCAAAGGATCACAACATTTGTATTCTCCTCTGCAGGCTCCCCGGGTAGACCACCCAGCTTTGTACAGGGACCTGCTTAGGACCAACCGTGTACACTGGATTGCCGAGGAACCACCTGCTGCCTTGGTCCGAGACAAGATGATGGAGTGCCATTTCCGATTCCGCCACCAGATGGCACTAGGTGACTGGATGGAAGGGGCTCTTGCTAAGCTCCCTGGGGTCAGATTAAACCAGAGAGGCTGTGTACATGTGCGGTGCTCCTTTGAGTGCATCAGGAAGTCCCCATCATGGATACCATGTAGCTTCAGAACTCCTTATCCTGTGCCTGCCCCAGAAAGGGGACTAGTGTACAGGACTATCATTTTGTCAGAATTGCTGGCAGTTGGGTCCTAGTAGGAGGGATTGAGTTACAGTGTATGCTGCTCTGAGGTGTCATGTCCATCGCCAGGGCTGCTCTGAGCCCTTTGGGGCACTGTCGGGTCCTCCTCCCGCAGGAAGGATGTTGGGCACCCCTGCACCCCCAGGCTGCCGTTTCTCCCCAGGGCTATGGTTGGCCTTGAAAGCAGACCCACACCCATCTCCACTCTCCCCACAGTGCCCTGTGTGCTGACACTCAACCAGGACGGCACTGTGTGGGTGACAGCGGTGAAGGCTGTGCGGGGCCTGGCCCTGGGACAGGTGAGTGGGGGCCTCAGCATTGCTGTCCTCATCAGGTCAGGAGCTTGGCCAGCTCCGCCCTGGAGTCTGAGACAGACACAGACACACACACACACACACACACACACACACACACACACACACACACACTGATTCTCCCCCTCCCCCTCTTTCTTTCCAGTTTGCTGTGTTCTACAAGGGTGATGAGTGTCTTGGCAGCGGGAAAATCCTACGGTTAGGGCCGTCTGCCTACACACTCCAGAAAGGCAAGAATAAAACCAGAGTGACTCCCGAGGTCTCCAGTGACAGCCCAGGCCTGCGCCCCACACCCTGACAAAGGCCGAGCTGCTGGGAGGAAGCATTAGAGAAGTCTGGGGCAGACGGTCAGTGATGGGCTAGGTGCTGCCAGATCAGTGGTCCGGCTGGCTGGCTGCAGAGCCACCTGAGGAGGGAGTGTCTGCACTGGGCTCCAGTTTACCAGAAGCATTTGCTGGCTGTGGGTCTGCCTCGAGGGCCCTGATGGAGCTGCTCTTCCACAGTGTAGTGCATGGAGGCTGCACAGGATCAGCGTTAAATAAAACTGTCGAACGTCTGACTACTGTGTCTGGGGCTTGCTGGAGGCCAGAGTGGGCTGCTGTGGCTGTCTCCCTTACCCGGAGCCTGCACAGCAGGCATGGGGAACCCCCATGTGGCACAGCAGGCATGGGAGCCCCCATGTGGCACAGCAGGCATGAGAGCCCTGTCCCCCTCCCTAGGGCCTGAGCTCTCTCCCAAAGGCAGGCCGAGTTATGGGTCTGAGGCCTCCTCTTGTCTGGAAGCCTGTTGTGTGTGAGATAACCCTTTCCCTGGTAGTGCCCACTCCAGGTGGAAGCCAGAGTTTTCCTGTAAGCTTGGCACTGGGTTGACGTGCACAAGCATGTGTGAGGAAAACACACATTGGAAGACGACCTTCAGTGGGGAGGGGTGCATGGGTTACAGGCCTGGGCTGGGGACGGGGACCTGTGGGCCCTAGGGAAAGGTGCCCACTACTTCTCTGCTCCCAGTTTCCCCAAGGGTGGCACCACTGAGCAGCTGTGTGAGATAATACAGGGGCTAAAAGTCTGGGAAACTCACATTTTTTTTAAAGATTTATTATGTATACAGCATATGACTGCAGGCCAGAAGAGGGCACCAGATCTCATTACAGGTGGTTGTTGGGAATTGAACTCAGGACCTCTGGAAGAGCAACCAGTGCTCTTAACCTCTGAGCCATCTCTCCAGCCCAAAACTCACCTTTTTGGACAGGAATCAAGCAAAGTAAAGGCCCTAAGGGGTGAGGGCTGGATACAGCACTGTCAGGAACCAGTGCCTGGAGCCAGCCAGGTTGTGCTAGGTTAGGGTGAGGGTTTAACCAGGCCAGGCTCAAAGGAACTCAAGATGCCCCTGGAGTTTCCAAGCCAAGAGAAAGATGACGGGTGGAATCCTAAAGTCACCAGAGGGTTGACCACCAGTCCACCGTGCCTAGGAGATGAGGGGATGCAGAGCAGTCGGCACAAGGAAGAACCAGACTGTAAGATTGAGAATCACACTTGAAATGTCAGAAGCTCACTAGAGAGCAGTGTAGGGCACAGGAAAGAATGAGCGAGCACCAGGACTACCATGAGTGCTCAGATCTGCAGAACAAGAGATTGGGGACCAGTGGGGCACCAGAGCAGCACCAGAGGGTCTGACATGTCACTGCAATGCCAGGAGGAGGCAGATGCAGAAAACCAGACTGCAAGGAGAGTGGAGAAGTTCCCAGACTGGAGACTGCAACAAGGTAGGATTGCTCAGTGGTTAGAAGTGCTGGCTGTGCAATCCTGAGGACCAGAGCTTGGACTCAGCACCTACATAAGCTGTGTGGCCTGCACATGCCTGTAACCCCATCTCCAAAAGGAGACAGGACTAGTGGGGTTGCTGGCTTCCGGTTTAGCTGAAAATCAAACCACAAACCCCAGATTCAGGAAGAGACCCTGCCTCATGGGGGTGATAGAAGACCCTGGATGCCCTTTTCTGGTCTCTATACACAAACACTTCTCCCCCGCACCCCTCCCTTTTTTTTTTAAATGTTCCCTGTCTGGAAAGGTGACGCTCAGTGGTGAAGAGCACTGGCAGAGACATCCATACACACAGATAAATCTAAATTCCTAAATTCCCAAATTTGGTAAAGACAGACTGGAGAACTGGAAAACTTGGGCAAGTCCATCCCTGTCATGGCAGGCCTGCACATGAATGGAAAACTATGACTAGACTCCATGGCCTGTCCGCCACCTGCACCCCACTAGAGGCCTGAAGCTGTCGTCAATAGTCCCCCTCCCATGTCACCTTCAGGAGCAGGGTCAGTGGGGACAGGAAACACCCAGCACAACATGGGTACAAATCCAACAATTTTAATTTATTTTAGATGCGTCTCACCTGTGTGGTCATCCAGTGCTGAACAGTAATAAATACACCTGTTAAAAACCTCCAGTGTTGAATCTGTAAAGTCTTAGGTCATAAAAACAGTTTAAAACTGACGGCTCGCTTTGTTTTGGTAACAGTTGTGCTCAAGTTAAAAACTCCGCCTTCTGGGGTGGCATGGGCTTGTGGAGTTGTGAGCAGTCACAGTGCTCCAACTCCTGGAGACCGAAGCTTCCCGGTGCCAGGTCATTCTCTGTATCCTGGCCATCCTCAGAGGCCACTTGGGGCCGCCCTCGCAGCAGTGAGTGACCTCAGACCACGTCACGTAGACTTTCCTCTCACACGGGTCGATCCTTAGCAGTCCGGTGCACTCATGGGAGCGCAGCATGCCGTGAAAGTCCTAGTACTTGACGGCCTTGTTTAGTGTCTCCCATCCGAGAGCAGCTGTACGCCTCACCTACACCCGATTTGAACAGCGGTGAGTGCTGAAGCAGACGGGTCTGAACAACTCTGGACCCCAGTCCCTTGGGCTTGGCCGCATGGTGGCTTGTGGTGGGCTGGTCACAGCAGTTCTTGGTGTGAGTTTCCAAAAAGAATTTGGTAACCATTGAAAAGTGGGCCTGTGGCTTTGTTTCTCTGCACAATTGGCCACTTAAAGCAAAATGATGTAATTGGTCAGATTTCGGGGGTGGAGCCCCTGCCTGCCCAGAGAGCCCTGGAGTTTCAAAGAGTAGAACATTGGCAGGAAGGAATGTAACATCTTGGAAGACCTCAGGGGTCTCTGAATCAGGAACACGAGCACTCAGATCCTATGGGGAGCAGGAACAAAGAAATTCTTCCCCTGCAGTACTGGGCTGACTGGGAAGCTCCAGAGACGTGCCAGGAGTGGACCTGGCACAAGGGTATGGGGGCGGCAGAGCGCACGGGATTTCACCCTGTGGGAAGTCGGCTGTGGCAGCCACACTTCACAGGCCAACCCCGTCCTGGATCCAGGGAGCTGAGCGCACACAGCTGTGTGCTCCAAAGGCCAGCAGAACACCCACACTCCCTGGCTTGCAGGCTGGAAGCAGCTGCAGGAGTTGGTGATGGCTGTATCAACTTCAGAGCCCATGTCGTCCCTCCCTGGGCACTGTGGGACCAGCTGTGTTGACATTCCAGATGCAAGTACAACTGTGCAAGCTTCCTTAGGATGCCATTTCATGGCTCTCCAGTGTCAGCAAAGTCAGGACATTGTAAAATATATACAGGTACCCATCTTCTCCAAGTCCAGGACAGATTTACTATGTATTTACAATTTTAAACAGCAACAGGGTACCTTTGCAGAGACTGAGACTGAGACACCATGGTTTTGTACTGCAAGGAGATGCCCCCGGGGACAGCTGGGCCTTGCCTGTGTCTGGTATCTGAGCCCTGGCAAGCCAAAGGGCCTGGCATGGTAATTCACCAAGTCCAGCTCAGGCTCTCTAGGGCTTCTGTCGAGGCCTCTCGTGGCCAGGTCAGCAGTGCAGTTTGGGTTCTGTCTGCAGTCTGGGGACGGAGCCATGCCAGCCTGAAGTCCATCTCTCCCTCTTGAGACATGCCTGTGGCTTTGGCACTTGTCACAGAGTCTGATGGGCCCTGAGCTCCTGAGAGGGCCAAGGGCTCCCCATCTGGACATTCTGTGTAGAGCCGGCTGCCATTGCAGGGGCCCTCATACCAAGGGCCGGCCTGCCCCACAGGCAGCAGTCCCAGGCTTCACGGTCCGAGGGCTCGACTGGCAGTTGTCTTGTCGAGCTGACTGTGCCTCATGGTTTCCTGATGGTTCAAATTGAAGTTTCATTACTGCCTCTGTGTGTGGGAAGAATTGCCAGGCGTGTGGAGGGTCAGTGATGGTGGCCATCGGATGGAATCCAAAGTCGTTTAGGGGCAGACACTCCCAGTCAGGTGGGAGGGGAAGCCTGGGGGCTCTAGGGGCCCTGGATGGGGAGAGCTGGTGCCCCCCACCCACCCCCCAAAGCTGTGGAATCCAAGGCTACTTACTCTGAGTCAGAGCCATTGGCCTGAGCACTGCCGGTGCATACGTTCATGGCCACCCCGTTGAGATGTTCACGGCCCGGCTCCCTCCTTGGCGTCTTGATGGTAATAACACAGTCAGTGGCCCGGACGCCATCACCAGAGCCCAGGGAGGACGTGCGGGAGGACGAGGGGCTTTGCTCGCAGTCGGCCAGCTTCTCTCGAAGGCGGCACTTCAATGGCTGCTCGGGCAGTGGTGGCGGGTAGGTGACTTTGTTTTTCAGGATGCCTGGGAGGAGGGGGGAGAGCACCCAGTCAGTCCAGGCGGACCTCGGTGCAGCAGCTCAGTTGGGGATGGACGGCGGCGTTGAGCAAGTGAATGCACCCGGCCTGGTTCTCACCGACTTGCCCAGGCCTAAACCCAAATTCTCCACAGGAACCCCCTCCACCTGCTGAACAAGGACTCCTGCCCCTGTCCCAGGTGCTGCCTGAGGGTTAGCTCCAGGGACACAGCAGGGCCCTCCCGAGGTACCTTTCCGCTGCTCCTGGGGCTGGCTGCTGAGCACAGCCACTGGCTTGGCCAGGACCCCGCTTTCCAGGTCAGGGGGCCGGTCACCACAGTGATTGCCCTGTGCCTGCCGGTGGAGCTCCACGCTGACCTTGGTCTCCACCTTCAGGTGGGGCTCAGTGTCCAGCTCCTCACTGTCGCTCCCAGCCAGGCTTTCCTCGGGCCAGCCAGCTGGGACATGGTTGGCTAGGACATCTGCTGAAATAAGAATGACACTGGGTTAGACTTACAGACACACCCCTGTCATACCCCAGGTCGGCTAGACCCCACGAGTTGCCCTGACCTCATTCTGGCTTGCTGGACTAGCAGGGTCATATGCTAAAGATGGAGACACTGAGACCACATCTTGATGTTGGGGACCCTGGCATGTGATCCCCACTGCTGTAACCAACACCGGGAGCCACATGCTGGCTGCTCTTTGCCTGCCTTGTCCAGCCTCCCACAATGATAGTCTGTGGAGGACCCCAAATTCCTGCCTCTGCCAGGCAGATGGTATGGGCAACTTTCTGGGGTTTCTGTTCCAATCTGAGCTTGGGGTGTGCCCACAGCCCACTGTTGAAAGTCCACTCTGGCGTGCTGTGTCTCTACTGCTCACCTTTTGGGGTGCTGTGGACGGG